TAACAGTAAGTACAAAGTCTCTAGGGTCAAAGTATAATTGACATGTTTGAGAAACAAGAAAGACAGCATGCCTAGAGCAGAATAAATGAGCAGAGAAGTGAGAGATGAAGTCAGAAAGGGAGCCTGTTCTATAGGGACCAGAGGACTGCCACTAAGAAGACTCAGGCTTTTGCTCCAAATGAGATAGGATACCACCAAATGAGATGGGATACCACCTCTGGACCAATGTATGATTTGACCTTTTAAAGGATCCCTTTTTAAAGAATCCCCTCTGGTTGCTGGCCTCAGAAGGACTATTAGAGGGCAAAAGCAGAAATACAAAGACCACTAGAAAGTGATCACAGAAATCCAAGGCTGACTCAGGTTTGGGCAGGATAATATTGGCAGGGTGATGAAAGCTATTGGTTTAGGGAAATCTATTAATGATAGAACCAAGAGGATTCACTGATGGAATGACAGATTAAGTGTGAAAGGGAAGGGCCAGGGATGACTCCAAGGTCTTTGGCCTGAGCAAATGAAAGGACAGAGCTGCCATTTAATGAGATGAGAAAGGCTGTGGGAACAGGTTTGGCGTGGGGGGCAGTGATGGGCAGCATAGAGAATTAAGAGTTGCCTTTAAGAGGTCCAAGCAGAGATGTGAGGTAAGCAGTTGGATATATGAGTCTGAAGTTTTGGGGTGAGATCTGGCTGAAAATATAAATTTGGAAGCCATGAATGGACACATGGTATTTAAAACCATGAGACTGCTGCAATTCACACACCTCAAATACGAGCTGTGTGAAAGTAATAATCCCAAAATGGGTTCTTAAACTGCATTGGTAACTTTTCCTTTCATTTCCATCACTCATATAAATTTAACTTAAGAGAGCTGGTATTATAATGCCTAATACCATTCATTATAGATGCTCAGATTTTGGGGGTGAATTACAGACTTTCAGAATAATTGTGACTCCATAAAACACAGGAGTATCTTGTGCATTTGTTAACTACACAATAACCTTACCTCTTCAGAATGTAGCCAAGAACCAAAATAGGTCTTTGGGTAGAGAGAGGCAGTCATGAAATCCATATGACCAAGTCCATGAACTTCATTAACTAGTACAAGTTCCTGCAAATGTTGTTCGGACCCAAAACATGCGAACAGCAGTCTAGGACCATTCAATTAAACAGGCAGAGGCCCACCAAAGCACATATTCTTATTTTTTTTTTTTTGCACATATTCTTATTAACACCTTAGAGTATCAATCTATAATACACGGGAAGACAATATAAATGCAGGTAAAATATATATGATAATGATGACAGGAATCTTTTCTTAGCTTCCTTTGTTCCAGGTATTATGCTGGGTATCTTTTAGTATAATTCTCTATTTCTAATCCTTACAATGATCACTGAGAGTATCAATAATATTATTCCCACTTTCAGAGGAGGAACAGAGCCTTGAGAAGTTTAATATTTTGATCACAGTCACATCACAACTGGAAGGGCCAGGACTAGAACCCAGTTATGCTGGAATCCAAAGCCAGTATGCTTTAAACTATACCATAAGAAAAGGTATATTCTATATACTCTTATAAGATGCTCAGGGAATTAGCTATTACGATCACCATCTAAAACGTTTAGATTCTTAAACTTGGGAATAAGTTACATGAAGAAAAATTCATTACTTTGATGGGGATAAACCAGAGCAGTGAATGATGCTCTACACTCACAATTTGCAAAAATGACATTGATGCAGACTGGCTGCTACACAAAAATACAGAAACAGTATTTTCTTACTTAGCTCAAGAATGATGGACCACTTAGACAAAAATGTTCTAATTAAATTTTAATTAATTTTAATCTTAATTAAACAGCACAGTTTCTTAAGAACATTATTTGGAATAAAACTGAGCCAAGAAAAAAAAAAACACTGTTCTTTGAAATTAAGTGGGCAGTTAAAGAAAAGATCTGAACGTCAGTCTTTTGTCTGAAAAATCTCTGATATTATTTCCAATACTCTTTGATTTCGGTTTAGAATATTAAAGTTTTTAAAATCATCACGTCTTAAAACGGCAATGATCGATATAAAGAAACAAAACTGACAAATGATATAAATATCTTACATTTTAGTCATAAGATTAAACTTCTTCCCTCATCAATCTTAAATCAGATGTCAAACAAGTACTGAAATTGATTGGCTTGAATTTCATCTCTACTAATTTTCCAAATAGAGAACCCCAGTACTTTAGATATGACAGATGTCCACGAAATGTTCACCATAGGGCAATTTCATGGCAAACGGAGAAACAAATGATAAAATCCATCCCAAATCCACAAAGAATGCTTCTCACCCCACCACACCCACTATAATGAATAATTAAACAGCCTATTCCTTTTGGGAGTAAGTGAGAAAAGGGAGAGTTTCATCATTCCATGGCCTCCCTTTAAGGTATCAAAAGGTCTATGCTGATCACCTCTCTTCAACAAACCTATGCTTGCTTTGTGAGATTCTCTTCCTACTAGCAGGGAAGTCATTACACTTTCAGTAACAGCTAGGAAAAAAATAAGCCTTGAGATGCAATTTTACTGTCTCAGGGAAAATCAAACAGCTAATAAATTCCTTTCTAAACACACAAATGGCTAACAGACACTTGAACAAATGCTCAACATCAGTAGGCACTAGGGAAATACAAATCAAAACCACAAGAAGATACCACCTCACACTAGTCAGAATGGCTGAAATTAAGAAGTCAGGAAATGACAAATGTTGGCAAGGATGCAGAGAAAGAGGAACCCTCTTACACTGTTGGTGAGAATGCAAACTGGTGCAGCCACTCTAGAAAACAGTATGGAGGTTCCTTAAAAAGTTGAAAATAGAGCTACCCTACAACCCAGCAATTGCACCATTGGGTATTTACCCCAAAGATACAAATGTAATAATCCAAAAGGGCACCTAGACCCCAATGTTTATAGCAGCAATGTCCACAGTAGCCAAACTATGGAAAGAACCCAGATGCCCACTTTCAGATGCATGGATAAAGAATATGTGATATATATCTATAATGGAATATTACTCAGCCATTAAAAAGAATAAAATCTTGCCATTTGCCATGACATGGCTATAACTAGAGAGTACTATGCTAAGCAAAATAAGTCAGTCAGAGAAAGACAAACACCATGATGTCACTCATATGTGGAATTTAACAAACAAAACTGACAAACATAGGGGAAAGAAAGGAAAAATACAATAAGATGAAAACAGAGAGGAAGGGAAACCATAAGAGACTCTTAATTATAGGAAACAAACTGAGGGTTGCTGGAGGGGAGGTTCATAGCGAAACAGGGTAACTGGGTGATGGGCATTAAAGAGGACATTTGATGGAACAAGCACTAGGAGTTATATGCAACTAATGAATCACTAAACTCTACCCCCAAAACTAATAATACACTATATGTTAACTAAATTGAATTTAAATTAAAAAAAAAAATTTTAGGGTACCTGGGTGGCTCAGTCAGGTAAGTGTCAGCCTTCAGCTCAAGTCATGATCCTAGGGTCCTGGGATACAGCCCCACATCAGGATCCCTGCTCAGCAGGAAGCCTGCTTCTCCCTCTCCCTCCATCCCGCCCTTCTGCTCGTTCTCACTCTCTCAAATAAATAAAATCTTTTAAAATGTTTATTTTTCAAATTTCTTTCTAAAGATATGGCTCCTTCCTTTCTCATAGACTTCAAAATCTAAATGGTGAAAGACTTTAAGCAACAACTGTAATTATGAGAATCAGAGAATCTTAGAGTTTCTTAATCTAGAAAACAGCACTTTTTTATGACGGTTTAAGGAAAAGACTAACCAGGCCAATTTCTAGAATGTCGTACTAGGCAAGTTCAGAGTACTAAATGTGATCATTTCAGGACACAACCCAATGAAATAAATGTATGATTCTTGGGATCCCTGGGTGGTGCAGCGGTTTAGCGCCTGCCTTTGGCCCAGGGTGTGATCCTGGAGACCCAGGATCGAATCCCACATCGGGCTCCCGGTGCATGCAGCCTGCTTCTCCCTCTGCCTATGTCTCTGCCTCTCTCTCTCTCTCTCTCTGTGACTATCATAAAATAAAAATAAAAATTAAAAAAAATTTTTTAAAAATGTATGATTCTTTTAGAAGAAATCTCTTTACATTTTCGGAACCAAAGTAATGTACCTCCAAAATTGTTCCAACAGCTAGGAAGTTATATACTTAAGGAGATGGACACCTAGTAACTATATACAGTATGTCCATAATAAAAATTCCTGATTGATTTGTATGATTAAAACTAAAAATAATTCAAGATACTGTTTGGTAAAATATGCCACTTATATCCTTTTGGGTGACCAAACTCACTTCTACCATCATGCTAATAATAAGTAAAGCTATATTTCTGAGCTGTATAAAGTACTAGCAATTACCTGTTTCACATGGCACACCATCTTATACATGCTGAGTAAATCAGATTAAGAATTAATGGGTTAATATATAACAGCCACAGAAACAATTACAGGTATGCATGTATACACAGGTTAGTATATACATATGTACACATGCATATGTTACCCAGCTCTGTCCACGGAGAGGGCTTAGAAGCAATGACATCTCAGTAACAGTGATCATACCTAGCTCCAGATCCTGATTCTAAATACCATTCTCCATTAAAAGGAACCAGGGCTTCTTGGAAAAATGGATGGTTCTAGGGGTAGGACAGGAAAAATAAAAGATGAAGCTGGAAGACCTCTGTAGTACCCAAAATAAGTGCTCAAATCTGCATTTTAAACCTTGTTTTTCATGATTAAGACTTTCTGTCAAGTAAAGGAAGAAAATATTATTACCATGAGATTGTACATGAGTGATTAATGAATGTTGTCGCTTCCTTTATTTTACACGAAATATGCAACCCTGCATTCTCTAAGCCCCAACAGTGCACAGAGTAAAGAGAGGACTCATATAAAAGGCCAGAGAGTTAGGGGTTAGTCACAAAATTAAATCATACCGTGCAAAATTCAAGCTTTTTACCAGTTCATCTAATATGCGGTTATTTTTTAGGTCCGGCTCTGTGACTGTCTAGAAAGGAAAAACAACAGATGGAAAAAGGTCAGAAATCATAAAATAACTTGTCATAATCTTGTTTTGAAAATGTGTGACCCATTCTCCTGAGACTCCTCATCCCACTAAGTCTTCCAGGAAAGCCTCAAAATAAAGTTCATTTATCTCATACTTATATGGAATTTTAAAACAATGAATCAGCATCTGCTGCCTGGAAGTCTGATAAAAGCTCTACATAGCTTCTGATAAAATTGTATATGCTCTGTACCAACTAAGATAAACCCTAATATGAGCAAGAATCTTTATTCAAAATGCCATCCCAAAAATTTCTCCTGAAAAGCAGAACAGAGATGATCTTTTAAGTGACCACTGAGGGAGAGGCATTAGGTGTTCAAAGAAAATTTAAAAACAAAATTGGTGTTCAGGAATCCAACAGGAAAATGACAGATTTCGTAATTATTTGGCATGAATGGTATTCAGTTTATCTCCTTGATGATACCATCTTGGCAATGGCATGACACCAAGCTGTAAAGAGATTAAACATGGAAGCTAAACTGCATCATTTCTTATGTAGGGAAATAGTTCAGAGAAGTTCAATGACATCCTAACACCATGTAGCTCCCAGAGGAAACAAACTAGAACCCAAACCCTTCAATTAGTCCCAGTATCCTTTCTATTAGACCTCATGGTCCCTTCTTTCTTTATTCCTATTTATGTTTACTTGGCCTTTTTACCTACCTTTTCATTTACTTGAAATGCTTCAGAAATTCTAACAACAAATTTCCTACTGTTTTCCCTGAAGGCCTGATTTGGGAAAGAAGTAAGGAATAATTATGGGGGCCCCTTGGTGGCTCAGTTGGTTAAGCATCCGACTGCTGATTTGGGTTCAGGTCACAATCTCAGGGTTCTGAGATCAAGCCCCAGGTCAGGCTCCGTGCTCAGTGCGGAATCTGCTTGAGTTTCTCTCCTTCTTCCTCTGCCCCTCTCCCCACTCAAGCTCTCTCTCTCTCTCTCTTTCTTCTTTCTAAAATACATAAATAAAATCTTAAAAAAGAAAAAAAAAAGGGAACAGTAAGGCTGGGTTCAGCCCAATGACCATGAATCTTTGCCTTCCACACAAATACTTAAATACCAATCCTATGCAAATGAATAATCCTACCATCAGATTTTCTACCCAAGGTAAGAAATTAGAAAACATGAGAAGCCATAAAAACAGATCATAAGATTTAAAGAGTGCAACATCCGATCTTAAAATTAGATTCTACTTCCTGAAAGACTGATTACCAGAAATCTTTATGAAAAATTGAAAAAAGCCTAGTTCTCCATATATGTGTTTATATATGTTTTAGAGGTCCTTTTTGAAAATGTCTTTTATGTAGCTTAATTCAATAATTATACCTCTTCCTTTGGGCTTTTGTGTATACATGATACAGAAATATGTGCACCAATCAATTAAGTTTACAAGAAAAAAAAAAGGAAAAACTTACCACACAACAAGTTGGACATTGTGTTTTATAGGACAAAAATTTTCTTATACAGAGAGAACAGTCTGCAAAAAGACAAATGCAACGTAATAAGTTAGTTAAGATATATTAATAATATAGGAATCTGAACAAAATCTGACTTAAGCCCTAGAATATTTCCATCATCTAAGGTATATCATTATTATCTCAAAATTCTAACACCTCTATTCTACCTATGCATACCTGCAAAAGTGATGAAACAGCATTTTATGGAGAGGAAAAGATACCAAATAATAATAATCATGAGTCCCTAGGATAGCATAACTCCATAAAATATAGGAAACATACATGTAAGACCTCAGATGGATATTGTATAAAATGCCAGATATCCCTGTGCCTAACATTCTAAAATATAAATTTTGAAATAAGACATATACACCTGTTAAAAAATAATATATACCTAGGTTAGCAATTAAGGATTTCTACATCCTAACTCTATAAATGATGTCAATGATCCCATATATAACAAGCACTTTGGGGATCCCTGGGTGGTGCGGCAGTTTGGCGCCTGCCTTTGGCCCAGGGCGTGATCCTGGAGACCCGGGATCGAATCCCACGTCAGGCTCCCGGTGCATGGAGCCTGCTTCTCCCTCTGCCTGTGTCTCTGCCTCTCTCTCTCTCTCTCTCTCTCTCTCTGTGACTATCATAAATAACAAATAAAAAAAATTAAAAAAAAAACAAGCACTTTGTGGCAAGCACTTTAAGAAAAGAAAAATATACAAGGGAAGGTTCTTGACCTCAAGGAGCTTACAAAGTAGTGAGGCAATTTCAGTACTATTCAGTGTAATGAATCCTAAGGATTTAAGCAAGAAATCAGCATCAACAAAATTCTTCACACCCAAGGCAGTATAAATGATCTCCCAAAGGGGATCAAAAAATGTGACTAAACAGAATGGTCCCTAATGGTAGCTAATTTGCTAGCAGTCCAAATTCAGCTTAGTGAAGGGGTCTCATTAAAAAGAATTCAGTTTACTTAAAGAGGCTCTGCCTCTCTGTGTCTCTCAGGAATAAATAAATAAATAAATAAATAAATAAATAAATAAATAAATAAATAAATCTTAAAAAAAAGAAAGAAAGAAACCTAGATCTACAATAAACAAAGGAAAAGCACCGGAGAAGGAATACAGGTAAAATAAAAACTTTTTTTTAATTCTTAATTGATCTAACAGGTACGTTTCGTCAAAACAATGGCAGCAAGGTATTAGGTTATTTGTGTGTGTGTAGACATACACACATATGTATATTCCTTCTTATGTGCGCTTTTGTAGAAGTGGAATGAATGACATCAATGCTACAAAGTACTGGAGGGAAGAATATTCTGCTTGGGCTGCTATAATAAAATACCACAGATTGTCCCTTAAAGAAATGTATTTTCTCATAGTTCTGGAGGTGAGAAGTTCAATATCAAGATGCCAATGTGGTAGGTTTGTGGTGAGAACTCCCTTCCTGACTTGGTAGATGGCTGCCTGCCTACTCACAGTGTCCTCCTTTGGCAGGGGGAGAGAACAAGCTACGTGTGTCTCTTCTTTTAATGGCGCTAGTCCCTTCATCAGGGGCCCACCTTCATGGCCACAACTAAACCTAATTATCTCCCAAATACTATCATATTGGGGATTCAGGGCTTACAAATTCTGGGAGGGACACAATTCAGTCCACAGCATTCTGCAACTTGCCCCCTGAAAATCCATGCCCTTCTCGTGTAAATACATTCATCCTATACCACCACTCCCCAAAAGTCTTAATTCATTCCAGCACTGACTCTAAAGTCCAAAGTCTCCTCTAAATATCACCTAAATCAGATATAACTGAGACATGAGGTATGATTCATTCTGAGGCAAAAATTCCTCCCAGGGGGATCCCTGGGTGGCTCAGCGGTTTGGCACCTGCCTTTGGCTCAGGGCGTGATCCTGGAGTCTGGGGATCGAGTCCCACATCGGGCTCCTTGTGTGGAGCCTGGTTCTCCCTCTGCCTGTGTCTCTCCCTCTCTCTCTGTGTCTCTCATGAATAAATAAGATAAAATCTTTAAAAAAAAATTCCTCCCCAGATTCATTCCCTTGACTATCAATGTTATTCTCTTCACAGTATACAAAAATCTCCTGGGCAATACTGTAAATCAAGATTTCCCAAACCTGGCTACTCATCCAAATCACTTGGAGAGATTACTGTTGGTTTTCATTTGCTTTCCCAGGCCCTACCCTGTCATATTGATTCAATGGATTTTGGTCAGTAATTTGCATCCATATTATGTGATGATATTGATTGAACAATAATTTTTTTTAATTACTGTTTTTGCTGTTAGGTTTAACTATACACAACTGTCATTTTTTGGTAAATCAAAAAAGAACAATATTAGCAATTTCATGTGGTTTAACATAACACTGTGCACTTACTATGTGCTCTGTTTAAGTATGTTTAATATATAATGCTTTTGATCCTACAGCAACCCTGAGGCTGGTACTAATATTAGTCCTATTTTACAATAAGTAAAATGCAGCACAGAGTCCAGCCAATTTGTCCAAGATCACAACGGTAATAAGTGACAAAGGCAAGTACCAGAGCTCATGCTTTTAACATATTAATTATTTAAAATATATACAATTTGGGGATCCCTGGGTGGCTCAGTGGTTTGGTGCCTGCCTTTGGCCCAGGGCGCGATCCTGGAGACCCAGGATTGAGTCCCACATTGGGCTCCCTGCATGGAGCCTGCTTCTCCCTCTGCCTGTGTCTCTGCTTCTCTCTCTATGTCTATCATAAATAAATAAATAAATCTTAAAAACAATAAATAAAATATATACAATTTGCTTATAAAATATATTTATTATATATGCCTATACAAAACAAATAAATACTACTTCATTACAAGATCACATGTACCAGAGTATATATAATGGGACTACTGCCTTCTCTTCTGCATAATCTTGTATGTGTTTTGTTTTCACATATGAACCAGACACAGGCACAAGAGGATCAAGCTCTTGGCTTAATTTCAGTCTACTAGTTTACTACCAAATATGTACTGGTGAGCTGCAGACCAGTGTAATGTATTCTCTAGTGAGCAACTATCACATTCCAACCAAAGTAGAACCATTGAAGAGCTCTGAACTAAGGCTTTATTTAAATCTCCTGTCAAGTCTGGTTTTCCTCCCAAAACCCAACTATGAGCTCTGCAGATAGGGTGGGGGAGAATAGAATAAAACAGTGATGTAAAGGGTAGCTTTGGGTGCCCCTAGATGGCTCCATTTGTTAAGTGTCAGACTCCTGATTTTGGATCAGGTCAAGATCTCAGGACCATAAGATTGAGCTCCACACTCACAGGGCGTCAGCCTGAGATTCTCTCCCTCTCCTTCTGCCCCTCCCACAGCTGGCATCCTCCCTCTTCTCTCTCTAGTAAATAAATAAATCATAAAAAAATAAAAATAAAAACATCCAAGCTTTGGGGAAGGAAGCATTTCTCATCTCAAACAGGGTACAGCCAACTGCTAGCTTTCAATTATCAAGAACCTAGCATCCTAACAGTAAAAAACCAATTTCTAAAAGTTAAACCAGTTATTTTTGTGTGTGATCTTAAGGCTTGTATGAGAAAATGAACCATTTCAAAAATAGTTCTAGAGTATCCAGTTAAAAGCAGAAAATCTAGTTCCCCATTTGAAAGGAATAGGTCCTAGAAAGTTGAAAAGGCTGGCCTCTGCCTCCAGTTCTAGAGTTAAATGGCCAGCTAGCTGGTAAGAGAATAATATCCCTACTGACAACCAGCACTCCAGCATTCCCATACATGCAGTTCTGCATAACTGTATGTCCCAGCCATATGTATAGCTATCACTACTCTCCCATCTTATTTCACAGTGCTGCCTCATAAGAATATAAAAGAAGAAAAACACATTATTTGCCTAAAGGAAACTTCCACTGCCTCTTAATTTAGCAAAGGTCAATAAATGGAATACTTCATATTTCACTTAAAAATAAAGAAATTAAATTGCCTTTTATTAAAGCAGAAACCTCAATTAGTTTTGTACATCCAAACCCACAAAACAAAAAAGAAAAATGACTGCTGATCCATCTTTAAAATAGTGGTAATTTAACAATGTCTACAAGGCAAGGATTTCAACTAGGAGTTAATATTTTGAGCATCTTCCATTATCAAGTCAGAAACACTGGACAAGTATAATGAAAACTAGCACTTGAACACACCAATCTATGAGTAAAAACATTTCTCACTTAATGGTGTTTTATAGATTGGAATAAGTCCATTCACTCTCCCAAAAAAGTACTCTTTAAAGAATGATTTTGGATCAATTTAACTGACTTGCATTCTGCCAATATATCTCACTCCAATAGTATAAAGTGTCCTTAACAGCAGAACTGCAGATGTAATGTTCATTAACCATATCCAAAAAAGATAGAGCAAAACAGAATAAAGTTTAAAATGATAAATCCTGAATGTTTAAGGAGCAGCAATAAATGGGTAGGATTCTGGGTCACCAATTCAAGTCAATCCAGGACAACAGTGAAACATGATAGCCAAATCTAGTTCCTATTAATCTCCGTGGACTTTTGTGTCAACTAAAACAATACTACAGACCCAAAGCAACTTTTGGTATTGAAGGAGCCTGTGACAAGTGGTGTTTAGTAGAAAAGGCCTACCAAATCATGAGAGGTACAATATGAAAAATAAGTGCTCATAAAATAATCATCCTGAAAGTACTCCCTACTGACTTCCTCTTAAAGAATGATAACTCTAGGTGACAAAGAAACAAATAATGAAAATAAAAGTAGGGACACCTGGGTGGATCAGCAGGTGGGCATCTGCCTTCAGCTTGGGGCATGATCCCGGGGTCCTGGGATTGAATCCTGCAATGGGCTTCCCACAGGGAGCTGACTTCTCTCTCTGCCTATGTCTCTGCTTTTCTCTCTCTCTCATGAATAAACAAAATCTTAAAAAAAAAAAAAAAAGAAGTAAAAGCTAATTTTTTCAACTAAGCAGAGTTCACCAAATTCATAAAAAGTGATCTTTCATCTACAGAAGGGATGTCCATCTCTGTTCATGAGAAAGTAACAGGGTCCAGAATTATGATCCTTCCATAAGCAACTAACATGAAATTTACCCTATTAACAAATTGTTACATATATAGTATTGTTAACCATATATACATTGTTAGACATAAAGCAAAAACTGACAAATGTAAAAGGAAAACTAGACAAATCTGTAATATAGTTGGGAGATTTCAACACACCTCTCTCATTATTGATAAAATATAAAGACTACTTAAAGATCAACCAGCTTGAATATTTGACATTTATAGAATACTCCACCCAACTACAGCAGGATAGACATTCTTTTCAAGTATACATGAAACATTAACCAAGGGGAAAGAAAAAAAAATACTAACCAAGAAATATCATATGATGGACTATAAAAATGTCTAAGAAAATTCTCAAGAAATGAAATCAGATTATGTTCTCTGACCAGAACATAACAAAATTAGACATTAGTAATAGGAAAACATCAAGAAAACTCCCAAATATTTAAAACAGACTTCTAAATGACTCATGAGTCAGAGAAATCACAAAGCATATTCAGATACATTTTAAATTGACTAAAAATGAAAATGCATATTAAAATGTGTGGGATGTCGCTAAAGCAGGCCTTAGAGGAAAATTTATAGCTTCACATAGTTATATGAGAAAAGAAAGATGTAATGTCAAACAAATAAAAAGTATAGATCAATGAATAGAAAAAAGACAAAATACAGAAAACAATGAACTAAATGCTGGTTCCCTAAAATGAGTAATAAAATTGATAAATTAAGGAAAAAATAGAAAACAGACATTTCTAGCATATGGGATAAAATAAGACATTGCTACAGATCCTTCAACCATGAAAAGGAAAAAAGTAATAAGGAATAGTATTAAAAAATTCTGTGCCAAAAAACTCAACAGCTAAAATAAATAGATAAATTTAATGAAAAGAATACAAGGTTGTTTTAACAATCAAAAAGCAATTGTATAATATTATAAAGTAAGATCATATGAACATCTCCATAGATGCAGAAGACACACTTGACAAAATTCAATAGCCATTTATATTTAAAAAAAAAAAACAAACCTCTCAGCTAATTAAGAAAGGAACTGCCTCAACTTGATAAATTTATGAAAATGTATTAAAAATATAGGAACACTATAGCTAACATAATATTTAAAAGACTAAATGATTTCCCCACAAAATTAGGACTAAGAAAACGATGTCCACCCACATCACTTCTATTTAACATTGTACTAGAAATACTAGCCTGTGTAAAACAAATACAAGGCATAGAAATTAGAAAGTAAAAGTGTCTTTATCCACAGATGACATGACTATGTATGTTAAAATTCCAAAGGCATCGACAATTTTGTTTACCAACAAAATTGGTAAAAGTGAATTTATCAAGATCACAAGATAAAAGGTCAATTAAAAAATTGTATTTCTATGTTCATGGACTGTACAATGAAAAGTAAACCATACTGTTGAGAGAAATTAAAGCTATAAAATCAGAGGAATATATCATGTTCATCTGTTGAAGACTCAACATTGTTAATAAGTCATTTCTACCCAGATTGATCTCTAGATTGAGGAGAAAACCAATGCACATACCAGCAGGCTTTTTTGTAGAAATGAAAATCTGAGTCTAAAATATATATGAAAATGTACATAAAATGCAAAGATCAAAAAGGTCCAATTTATTTTGATAAAGAAAAACAAAATGGGAGGACTTAACATGTCTGACATCAAGACTTACTACAAAGTGACAGTAATTAATAATGTGGTATTGGCACAAGGATAAACATAGAGAAAAACAGAAAAGAGTCCAGAAACACACACACACACACACACACACACACACACACACAGTTATTGCCTGAGGCTATATTGACTAAGATGGGAAATACTCTTTAAAAAAAAAAAAGATTTTATTTATTTATTCATGAGAGACACATTGAGAGAGAGAGACGCAGAAGGAGAAGCAGGCTCCATGCAGGGAGCCTGATGTGGGACTCGATCCCAGGTCTCTAGGATCAGGCCCTGGGCTGAAGGCGGCACTAAACCACTGAGCAACCTAGGCTGCCCAGGATGGGAAATACTCTACCAGGAAATTGAAATGTACAGTATTTTAATTATAGTGGTTACATGGTATACATCTTTGTCAAACCTCACTGACGCTTGCACACTTTACTATGCATTTAAAATTGATGTATTTTATTATTGTAAATTACACCTAAATAAAGATTATTTTAACGCATATTCAGAAAATCCCCAAAACTTATCTTTACTAATGTCAATCTAATATAAAAAGGAATTAACAATTATTAAGGTCCTATAACATGCCAGACACTGAGTTCTGTACATTTAATCATCTTCTAAAGTAGAAATTATTCATCAAATTTTTACATTTGAAGAAATGTTAGCATTTGCAAATTCAACCAGCTAGTTAAGTGGGGGAGTAGAGTCAAGCCTAAGTATACCTCTAATGCCCATGCCACTACCACCACCATTCTCTTCACTCTTTGCTAACTTTTCCATCAAAACTGTTTTTTGAGCCTCCCTTTTTTTTGTTTTTTAACCTTCCAAGAAAAATCACTTGAAAATAGCTCCTAAACAATAACAAGTTCTCCACTATGTGTTAAATGCCTCAACCTACAAGGGCACACGGGTGCCTCAGATGGTTAAACCTCTGCCTTAGGCTCAGGTCATAATCCCAGGGTCCTGCATGCTCAGTGGGAATATGAATCTCCATCTCCATCTCCCTCTCCCCCTCCCTCTGCCCCCGCTCCTGCATGTGCTCTCTCTGTATCTCTTTCTCTCTCAAATAAATAAATAAATAAAATATTAAAGAATAAAAAATACATAATAAACTCATAAAGCTAAGTACAAGCAAATTTCAATATAGGAGTCTTTCCAGCCTCACACAGAAAGGTAAGTGATAAAATTGTCTATAATACTCTTTAGTGGTAGATTCTCCCACTGGGATTTTTAAAATTTGAATATATTTGAATATATCTTTAAACTTTGAATATTCATGTCAAGGACTACATGATTGAACTACCTATGTGTTTTCCTGTTACAAAACAAAAACTCTGAAATTTAACATTTGCCTAAAATTTGCCTAAAAGTACCAAGCAAATAAAGAACCACGTACAGTGACCAAGATCTTTATTGCTGTAATTTTACAATAGGCATATAAATATCCAAGAGGGGACATAAGAAAAGAATACGGGAGAAGATGGGATTTGAGATGAACACGAAAAGAAGAGATTTACAGATAGCCCAAGGACAGCTGACATCAGGAACATTCTTTGTCCTATAGACTTTCTTAACTCATGGGTCTTAACTGAGAACCACAGTAGATGATAGTTCCAGGAAAACACACTTTTGCCATCTTTGCTTTTAATAGCAAGAATTAGTACTACCAGACCTCTGCTGGCAATATTACTCCTTCAAGTGTTCTTCACTCCCATCTCTGGCCCCAGGAATATCCCCCTGGAGAAATGAGTGTGATGATGACTAAATAGGAAACCGATGCTATCGCTTCTACCATCATCTTCAAACCCAAAAGACAGTCTTCATAATGTACAGATTATGTGTTGGAGGAGATCCTCTCAAAGATCAGAAAAACTGGACTGAGAAAGCTCACATTTGAAAGTTACCTAGAGGGTATCTGTCACTGGGGAGAATTGTAACCATACATGCTCACTGCTTTCATTGTTGACAATGGACTAAAATCTTGGGAGCTTGAATGATGGAGACGTTATTACAAAGAGAAGCTCAGGACAGTTGTCAATGAAGGCTTAATTTCAGTGTTCCCATATGTCTTAAGTGCACATATTTATAATTTTCACTTACCCCAGGGTAAACTTAAAATTGATTCATAAAAAATTATCTTTTTCCAGACTTCCAAGAACACAGAAATTTGTGAAGGATAGTATTTTTACTTCTTAAATGCTTTTTTCTCCTCCTGATTCTACTCTTCAACATTATCTGTTAACAGAGTTTTGTGCATATCCTTTTGGGGTGTACTGGCAAGTAAACTGATATGCAAGCAGTCTCCTGGACCCATACATTAGCTACAAACTTTCTATGCAGTAACATGCTTATATATAAATTATTTCTAATTTTTCTACCCAATTTGTTGAAATAGTCCTAATAGTTCCATTTCATTGGAATTAAGAATATCCAAAATTTATATTTTGAGTCAAAAAGTAGGTTTTCCCAAAATTGTAAAGATTGTTATCAATCTTGTCACTCAGTGTTTATCTATGAGACTTCTGTTTTCCAAAATCTATAAATATTAGATGTCAATGTTTTAATCTTTGACAATATAATATTACAAAGAAATTGTTTTTCTTCTCTTATTACTCAGTTCAGACATCTTCATATATCCTTAAACCTTACTAGTCATTGTTATTTCATTTTCCTCTATGTGTGTGTGTGTTTCATTTCCCTTGGAATGTTAGTGTTCTTGTTACTGGTTTCTAAGAGAGCATTTATGAGTAAGGATGTCAACTATTTGCCATACGTTGCAAATGAAATACCATGTTTTCTCACCAACACTTTATAGTGATGTTTTACCTTTTGGTTGTACAGAAGTTGCATATTAAAATATAATAATTTTCTGCTTTAAAAAAATAGATATCCAAGAGGAAGGCAAAAGTATCATCTGAAAACTTCAAGATAGAGGAGCCAACAGGGAAAAATAAATGTGTACTCACATTTGGTGTTAAATTAACACTATCTTATATAAAAATCACATTTTTACTAACTCACAGAGACAATGCATACTTACAGTTATGTGAACACTGAGGAATCATCATTGCAATGTTGAAATAGTCAAAGCAAATTCCACAGCGCAGCAAATCATCTATTGTCTGAAATGCAAAAATACATATATACCTATCAGAAAAACACCAAGACTGGAATGTCTACCACAGAACTCTTTTTCCATCCCCTAAAAAAAAAAAAACAAACAACTTAATAGTACTCTTTTGCAAATACAAACTCAGAATTAACAAACTCAGAATTAACTCCACATTAATTAATCAAGAAAAACCTTCTCATTTGTAACTGACACATTCAAATGTCAAGTTACTGAAAAAGCTTTCGAGAGACAGAGTTGACACTGTACAGCTTCCTGTTCCACAGCATCAACCCTTTACAAAAGGGCTACTCCATTCCTGTTCCATTTCCCATGTGTTTCCAGCTCCTACTCCAAGCTTCTTCCACTTCAGACCCCATTCCCAGTCACGACTGAGTGAAAGGTACCAATAACCATTCACCACACAGATTAAGAACAAAATCAAACAATGTTAAAGCCAAACATTAGAAAGTGTTTTGTTAAAACCCTTACTCCACAAATGAGGGAACACACACACATACTAGGCATGAGTCAAGCCAGGACTAAATTTCCTATGTCCCTGCTGGCAGTCAGTCCAGTGCTTTCTGCACGGTATCACATGGTAATTACGACATGGTGGAGCCAACTGAGGAAGGCCTGGAAAAAGCTGGAGCCAGTGACAGCAGAAGAAGGTAAAGACGTGGTCAATCTGGGAAGTTAGACAGGTGTGTGTCAGCCTGGAATGCAATCCAAATAGGAAAGGGTCTATTCTCACAATGCAAAATCTTCTAAATCATTTAAAATAAAATGCTACTCCATTCAGTAGACTACTGGAGCAGATTTTTTTTTTTAAGATTTTATTTTATTTATTCACAGAGACAGAGAGAGAGAGGCAGAGACACAGGCAGAGGGAGAAGCAGGCACCACACAGAGAGCCCGACGTGGGACTCGATCCCGGGTCTCTAGGATCACGCCCTGGGCTGCACCAGGGCTGCCCTACTGGAGCAGATTTTAAGAGAAAAAGAAAAAAAAAAGAGGGAGTTCACTCACGTAATAATATGGAAAGATTGCCAAATAAGCACAAGAAAGAAGGTATGCTGATTTTGTTAAAAAGAGAGCGCCGAATAAAAACGTATTCTGTTTTTACCTTGTATACATACAAAGAAATTCCAAAAAGATACACAATGAAGTAATAAATTATAGTAATGGATCAGAAAACTGGATAAAGGACAGGTTGGGAGGGAGTTTCATATTTTTTCAGCCATGAGTGTATCACCTAAATTTTCAAAATACAAACAAAAAAGACCAATGTCACTAACAGTCTATATGATGAAATATTACATAAGCCATTAAAAAAAAAAAAACAGTTTCAAAGAATCATTAATGCCATGGGGGAAAAAAATCAGAGAACAAATCTACAGGAATACATTACAATAAACTATCCAGTTTAATCTCCATAACAATCTTCTGAGGTCTATAGCATCTGTATCCCATTTTTACAGATGAAGTCTACAGTGCTTTTAAGTGGCTGAATCAAACCCAAGAAGTTGACTCCAAAGTGATCCCAAATTTTAAATGCATATACACATCATACACACACATTAAACAGAGAAAACATTAAACCATGGTAACCTCTGGATGGTGGTAGGGTGATGGGTAACTTCCATTTTCTCCTTTATCTTAATCTAAATTTTAATTTTCTACTTATATACACATACTCCATTTATAAGTTGTCAAAACCAAAATTTCCTGTTACTATAAAACCAGGAAAATAAAAATGAAAATGCCAAATCTTCCATTATTTTGGATGGTAAACTACCACTGACACAAAAAGCTAGAGGACTGTGTGAACATCAATTAAGAACAGAGGTAGGGCTGGAAGTCAGAGTGCTTTCTTCTATACAACTATCCTTTCTGGAGGAGTGGTTCTGATACATACTGGCCAAGATCTGTGGAATGTCACACTGTATCACACGAGCTATAACATTCTTATCCAAATTTCTAGTCATGCCCTTTCAAGACCATAACATGCACTGCAGTAAATCAGAGTGGTCAAGTGACTGCTCTAGGACTTTTTCAACTTAGAAGAGGGGAAGTGGAAGGGGGAAGTAGGCAATCAATGAAAAGACTTAATAATTAGTGGAAAGGTTCTTAAGTTTTTGGGGTCACAGATCCCTTTAAATATATAAATAAAAACCATGAACTCTCAGAAAAACACATACAAACAAAAATTTTATAAATAATTCTGGATATGAAAGTCTTTCTATGAATCCTAGGTTAGCAACCATGGTTGTGGAATCCGATTTCTATTTCGTGTAAGAAAGAATTTCAAACAGAACTACTTCTGGGAGCAGCTAATTCCTTGTCCCTGGAAAAAGTTCAAGCAAAAACTAGACGAGAAATTGGTAGGTATATAATAAAGGGATTAAAAAACATTGATCACTGGAACAGGATAGAGAGCCCACAAATAAATCCATACCTCTACAGTCAGTCAATCTACAGCAAGGGAAGCAAGACTACACAAAGGAGAAAGAACAGTCTTTTCAACAAATGGTGTTGGAAAAATTAAACAGCTACACGCAAAAAAAATGAAACTGGACCACTTTCTTATACCATATACAAAGTAAGTTCAGAGTGGATTAAAGACTTAAATGTGAGTCCTGAACCCATAAAACTCCTAAAAGGAACAACAGCCAGTAATCTCTTGGACATCACCTTAGCAACATATTTATAGCTATGTCTCTTCAGACAAGGGAAACAAAAGCAAACATCAACTATTGGGAAAACATCAAAATAAAAGGCTTTTATCCAGCAAAAGCAACCATGAAGAAAAAAAGGCAACCCAGTGAATGGGAGATGTTTGCAAATGATATATTCAATGAGGGGTTAATATCTAAAATAAAGAATTTACACATTCAATACCAAAAAAAGCCCCTAAATAATCCCATTTAAAAATGGGCAGAGGTCCTGAATAGACATTTTTTCAAAAAAGATATACAAATGGTCAACAGACACAGGGAGAGATGCTCAACATCACTAATCATGAGGGAAATGCAAATCAAAACTACCATAAGACATCATCTCATGCCAGTTAGAATGGCTAGTATCAAAAAACAAGGAATAACAGGTGTTGCTGAGGATGTGGAGATAAGGGATCCCTGCTGCACTGTTGGTAGGAACGTGTAAATTGCTGCAACCACTATGGAAAACACTATGGAGGTTCAAAAAGTTAAAAACAGAAATATTATATGATCCAGTAATTCCACTACAAAGTATTTACCCAAAGAAAATGAAAACACCAATTTGAAAAGACATGTGGAACCCTATGTTTATTGCAGCATTATTTACAATAGCCAAGATAGGGAAGCAACCAATGTCAGTGGTTGCATAGAGAAGATGTGGTGCATATATATACAATGTAATATTACTCAGCCATAAAAAAGAATAAGATCTTGCCATTTGTGACAACATGGATGGACCTAGAGGGTATTATGTATGCCAAGTGAGTAAGTCTGACAGAAAGGCAAATACCATATCATTTCACTTTTATGTGGAATCTAAAAAAACAAAATCAACAAACAAAAAAGCCAGACTCTTAAATACAGAGAACTTGTGGTTGCTAGGAAGGTGAGAGGTGGGGAGGGGTGGGCAAAACTAAGAGTATTAATAAGTACAAACGGTAAAAATACAATACAGAGCTATTAGAAAAATAGAAAACACTAGCGGGGGCTGGCTTTCCACCATGATTCTAATATGGGCTCAATCAACTCCATCTCTGAACACTCTTGGGTGCTGAACCCTATATTCAATGCTGTGGTGAGACATCAAATCCTGCCTCTAAAGAACACTGTGGAAGTTGTGGTAAAATAAGCTTAAATCTACAAACCAAGAAGCTTTACAAGCCGCAGAGCTTTTACTTCCTTTATCCAATTCAATCTTCCAAATAACAAATAAAAATGGGGGAAAGAAATACTGCATGTTAAGTACTAACGATAATAATAGAGGGGCAGCCCAGGAGGCCCAGGGGTCTAGCCCTGCCTTCAGTCCAGGGCATGATCCTGGAGACCCAGGATCAAGTCCCACATCTTGCTCCCTGCATGGAGCCTGCTTCTCGCTCTGCTGTGTCTCTGCCCCTCTCTCTCTCTCATGAATAAATGAAATCTTTTTTTAAAAAAATGATAATAATAAAGACATATTAACTGAATGCTTACTACCTTCCAGATACTTAGGACCTTCAACCAATTAGATAATCTCTGAGCATGTTCTATGTGTCAGGCACTGGTAAGCATAGTGAATAATAAGCCAGACAGGATCCCTATCTACACACATCAACTCATTTAACCAATCCCATAAACTATTTCTCTTTGTCTCCACTTTATAGTTGAGGAAATTCTGGCTCAGAGAGGTTAAGTAACCCACTCGAGATCACACAGTTAAATAAGAGCCAGCGGCTAGATTTAAACCAAGACCACTGGATCTCAAACCTATGTTCTTCTCCACCGTACTTTTTTTTTTTTTTTTTTTTAAGACTTTATCTATGGGATCCCTGGGTGGTGCAGCGGTTTGGTGCCTGCCTTTGGCCCAGGGCACGATCTTGGAGACCTGGGATCGAATTCCACGTCGGGCACCCTGCATGGAGCCTGCTTCTCCCTCTGCCTATGTCTCTGCCTCTCTCTCTCTCGCTCGCTCTCTGTGTGTGTGTGACTACCATGAATAAATAAATAAAATCTTTAAAAAAAAAAAAAAAGACTATCTATTTACTCATGAGAGAGAGAGAGGCAGAGACACAAGCAGAGGGAGAAGCAGGCTCCATGCTGGGAGCCCGATGTGAAACTCAATCCCGGGACTCCAGGATCCGGCCCTGGGTCAAAGGCAGGCGCTGAACCGCTGAGCCACGGAGGCGTCCCTCCTCCATGGTACCTTGACCCCAAGGCCACAACTCCAAAACGACATGTTTCCTAGATGCTTCCACAATGTCAGCTTCTCACCACGGGGCTATCTCAAGTCCTCAAGCACTGTCGATGACCCTGGTGATGGCAAGAAGAAAGGCCTTATACTTATTTTAACCTTCCCCAAACCCCTTCACTTACTCCTCAAAGTCAGTCTTCAGCGTCAGTGGGACAGATACCGTAACCCCCAAATCTACAAAAATGGGGAACAGAACTAGAAAGTGATCTTGCACACAAACAGACATACATAATTACAGAGCACGGGCGGGGGGGCCGGGGGGTGGGGGGAGCAAGCGACCGATGCTTAAGCTCGCACGGCCAAGCGTGCATTTGCTGCTGCTCCAGCGCAGCAGGAACCCAGGGCTCACGGCTCCTGTAAACTGTAAACGGGCCTGGGATGCCTCGGCCAAAAACAAACCAATGCCACTGAAGGGAAATGATGTAATGAGATGAAAGGCTGGTGCAGAGCCTGAGCCCTGGTCTCCCCGCGTAAAAGGGAGGCGCACCAGGGTCAGGCGTTAGGGCACGTCCGGGAGGCGCCAGGGCCAGCAAGGAAGCAGGCAGAGCAGGTGCGAAACCGTCAGCTAATGCACCGCGGGGTTTACCTAACGTTGACGAGCAGCAGGCCGCAGAGACGGTGGGCGGCCACTGTCGTTGTCACTGCTGGGGGGGGGGAGGCGTTCCCCTCGAGGTCATTGCTACTCTCGTGGCTGAACGGCTCGGTGCCGGTGCCACTGAACGGCCCGCCTAAGCCCCCCACGAGGGACCGAGGCCTGACCCCGCCACTTCGCAGCAACAGGAAGCCGAGGCCCCAAACCACCAGGTCGCTGAGCGGTACCCGGCCCAGCTCGCGGCTCCCGTCTCCTCCTCTTGCCCTCTCAAGGCGGGACTGGCCTCCGGCGGACACCCCGGTGCACCCAACCTCCCCCCGAGCGCTCACCTTCATGACCGCCAGGCCTGGAGGCCACCGAGACTCGACTAGGGAGTCCATGGTCTGCCCTGAGGAAGCTGGGGGGCCCGGCACCCACTGGCCTCCCGCGCTCCGCCGCTACTCCAAATTCCCCGCGCTACGCATTACATCATCAGCCAGCGACGCGCCGGCGGCGAGCGCGGAGCCTGCTGGAAGTTGTAGTACGTGGGCGGAGCGCAGCCAAGGATGCTCTCACTGCGCACGCGCGGAGCTTCCCTTGGCCTCTCCGAGCATTTAAGCGGTTAAAAAGCATACATCGACTTTCCCTAAGGTGGCTCAGCGGTTTGGCCCCTGCCTTCGTCCCGGGGTGTGATCCTGGAGACCCGGGCTCGAGTCCCACGTCAGGCTCCCTGCATGGAGCCTGCTTCTCCCTCTGTCTCTCATGAATAAATAAAATCTTTAAAAAAAAAAAAAAGCGCACATCAGGTTTTGCACACTTGTTAAATTAATGCCTGCTGACTGTTAGGGAAAGACGGTCAAAAACCAAATCCAGAACTTGCCAGACCTTTCAAGGTCTAGGCTTATGCCCCCTCCTCACGTTGCCCTCTGTGCTTGCTGTAGTGACCTGTCCCTGCTCTGAGTAGGGGTTTTCACACCTGTTAGCATTACCCTTGCTGGTTTACACAAGAGGAAGCTTCTGCTCAGAAAGCTGAGTAGAGTTACAAATAAGGGCCTCTGGACTTCAAATAGTTCTTTCTTTTCTCAAGATAAAATTTTAATTTATTTTACTTTTCTGCAGGGATAAACCACCTTAACTCTGGCATGTAGCCTTTCAGATATTTCCTGTGCAGATATACAAATAATGGCTCCCCCCCCCATATCATTACATTAAATGCATAGCTTTGTCAACTTGAGTTTTTATTTAACTATACATCTTAAGACCTCTCCATATTAATAATGTACATATTTACCTCATTCTTTTCAATAGCCACGTAGTCCATAACATAGATGTACCATAATTTATTAACCTGGTCCCATACTGTGGGGCATTTAGGTTATTTCCAGTTTTCCACTATTGCAAAGAGTTGCAATGAACACACTATATAAACCTTGGCGCAAAAAAAAAAAAAAATAAAAAAAAACAAAAAAAAAAACCTTGGCGCATTTGGGCCAAGATATCTGGGGATGATTTCCTATCAGTGGAATTACCGGCTCAATTTGTGAATTTGTGTACTCTTTTAAAATTATGATAATTAGCACTAAATGATTTTTCAAAAAGGCTGATTTATACTAATACATTTATACTCTCACCAACCAGTGTAAGAATGCCTGTTACAAAAAAAAAATGCCCATTATGCAAATGTGAAGCTGACCAGCACACCACCCAGTCTGTGTGTTTGACTCAGCGCTCACCCACTGCCTTATGAGGGTCTCCATTGCATCAGGTCTCATAGCCAGCAAGTTTAGTTACATTGCTCAAGGGAGACCCCTGCTACTTGCCACTGGTACCCCACGTGGTCCAGGCATTCATTCATTCAACAAATACTTTTTTTTCCAGCACTTACCATTATTCAAGCACTTGAGCTACCCTCTGAAACAGGCAGAGGTAAAGTTGTTGCCATAATACAGATAAAGACGCTGAGGCTCAGAGAGGTTAAGGCTTCACTTCTTTGAACTGTCTTCACAAGAAACTCTGGCACCCAATCGATTTTTCCCAACCTATGCCCAAATATTCATTGAACAATAATAATATTAACAGCATTTGGACAAAAAGGACTTTTAACACTTATTGCAATAATAACTGACATTCATTATGCGCTTGCATGTAAAGCATTGTTGCAGTGTTTTTAGATAATTTGACTTATTTCAGACTCGCTCCAACCAAATTAAGAAAGAGAACTAAAAAGATAACTCGTTTAGGGCATTCTGCTGGTAGGTGGAAGAGAAAGGATTTGATTTCAGGCAGTCTGGCTTAAAAGTCCATATTAACCACTACAGAAGAGTCTCATTAAAAATAACAAACAAGGGCAGCCTCGGTGGCGCAGTGGTTTGGCGCCGCCTGCAGCCTGGGGTGTGAGTCCCACATCGGGCTTCCTGTATGGAGCCTGTTTCTCCCTCTGCCGGTGTCTCTGTCTCTCTCTCTCTGTGTCTACGAATAAATAAATGAAATCTTACTTAAAAAGTTAAAACAAACAAACAAGGGGGATCCCTGGGTGGCTCAGTGGTTCAGCGCCTGCCTTTGGCCCAGGGCGTGATCCTGGAGACCCGGGATCCAGTTTCTCATCAGGCTCCCTGCATGGAGCCTGCTTCTCCCTCTGCCTGTGTCTCTGCCTCTCTCTCTCTATGTCTATCATGAATAAATAAATAAAATCTTAAAGTAAGAATAAAAAAACAAACAATAGCAACAACAACAACAAAAAAAAACAAAAAACAAAACCCCCACACCTCATCATGAGAATTATTCCCATTTTATAGATGAGGCAACTGAGTCCCAGAGAAGCAGAGGGACTCATTCATGATCACAGTTTGTCAGTGGCAAAGTCCAGCCTGGAATCTGGTTCTTTTAATCCCAAACCATAAAGGATCATCCTCCGACACTTTACTGAGGAATAATTGAGCAGACAAGACCAAGGGTTAGAGGTTTGAGGCTCTCAGGATGCCTTCCTTTGTGGGGCTCCAACAGGTTGGTGGGGCGTGGCCAAGAGGAGTGGAGCATGGAAGGCTGCAAAGGGTTTGTATCAATCAGAAAAGGGCATGCAAATGAACTCCTCCAGTCCTTGATGGTATTGCCCAGGAAGCAGGTAGTGGGGTGGGGGACCCGCGCTTAGAGAGACTAAGACCAGGTCCCATGCCTGATTGCACTAGTCATCTTTCCTTTTTAGTACTTATAGGTTCAAGATGACAAAGACTGAGAAAGTGAGAGAAAAAGAAGAGGGAGAAAAGAAAAAGAATAAGGACAGAGAGAGAGAGAGAGAGAGAGAAGGAGAGAGGGAGAGAGAAAGAAATGCATTCTTCCACTGAGTCAACCATGAAGACAGACTTGGGATAGCCCTCACTTGTGGGTCCTGGGCTCCAGATCCATCTCTTATCTCTGGAGAGAGCCCCCAGGGCAGCGCCCAGTGCCATCCATCTTCGAGTTCCTGCCACCAGCTGCTCAGCGAGACTGAAGGAGTGAATGACCTGAATCAGCCCACATCCCCGTGAATCTTTCCCTCACAGGCTGAACCATATACACCTCCTGCCCTCTCCGGCAGCACCTCAAGCCCACTTCTGGGCCCAGGGAGGAAAGTCCAAGCAACAGCACAAGGAGGTTCTGAAAGCAGCTTTGACTTCAGGATAAGGCATCTGTCTTGCCCTCCCCACGGTATTTATCCGCCCCCTTGGAGCCAATCTGCCCTAACAAGCTGCTGTTTTCACGGACATTCTCCTTTGTTAGATCAATAAAGAGACTTTACTTCTTATTCGGGAGTGAAACAAAACGTTCCATATTAAAAAGCAGGCTACTCAGTAGAATCTCTCTTTGCACTTAGTGAAGTTCCATATTAAAAAGCAGGCTACTCAGTAGAATCTCTCTTTGCACAAAGTGAAGGTCTGGGGTACGGCCACCAGAGAAAATATAGGATGCCCTGTAAATTTCAATTTCAGATAAACACCAAACAATTTTTAATACAAATATATCCCAAATATTGTACATGACATATTTATACTTTAAAAAAGATTCACTGGGGGGGGGGAGGGGGGTCCTGGCTGGCTCAGTCTGTAGAGCATGGGACTCTTGATCTCGGGGTTATGAGTTCAAGCCCCACATTGGGCAGAGATTACTTAAAAATAAAATAAAATCTTTAAACAAAAAAAGATCCACTGTTTTATCTGAAATATAAATTTAACTGAACATCTTATAGTTTTATTTGCCAAATCTGACAACCTTAATCAGGGAAATATCCTCCCAGGGGGGTATGGGGGGCAGCCTGGCTGCTCCCTGAGGCTTCCCAAGGCCCCGCTGGGTTCCTCTGCAGTGTCTCTCTTCATCACATTCCTCTCTGTTCCCCATGCTCTTCCCCTGAGGACCCGTCTGTGCTCTGGTCATGGGAGGGAGGACACTGAAGGAGCTCAGGACTTAGCCCTTCTTTCCCCTTTTCCTCCCTTCTTCCCCTCCCCCATTGAGCCGCTACTTACCTGTGCCAGGTGCTGGAACACAGAGGTGACCAAGAGAGCCCTGGTCCCTGATCCCAAGGAGCTGACACTCTGGGGGAAAGACGGGGCCCAGACAGAAAAAAATGTAAGAAAATGAATAGAGAACTTAATAAAATGGTAAGTGACAGGCAAGCAAAAAAGGGATGATGTAACAAAGAGTGGGGAGCACTATAAACTGGATGATGTGGGAAGTCCTCTCTGAGAGGGTGACGTTGGTGCCAAGACCCAACTAGTACGACAGAGGCAGCTATGTGGAGACCCAGGGTGGCAGTGGTCAGGGGGAGGTAAAAGTGCTGCGAGCTCCATGATTACTATGGACTCCACCCTGCCTTGTTCTCACCGCCTGTGCTCCCCACGCCCCGCCCACCTTGGGGCCCCAGCCCCAGGAGCCAGTGAGGCACAGTTTACATTGACAGACTGTGTCCATCACCTGCTCCACCTGCCTATGAGAACACTACATCTGGGAGCCTCTCCCTGAGACTGTTACCAGCCTATCATCACAGCCTCTTCTTAGGAGGTGTCCCAACCCTTCCTCTGGGTGCTTTGAACGAATGTTTACTGAGAACTTACTATAGGCCCAGGCAGAGGTCACAAGCAGTAACTTAGACTATCTGCCCAAATCACGGAATAAACATGAGAAGAGCTTCGAGATCAGAGAGGAAGAACTCAGGATCCTCTTGGTTACAAGTGTTGAGTTAGAAAGCCAACTCACAATGGCCTAATCAAAAAAGAGAATGTATTAGTTTATGTAACTGGAAAGTCCAAGAGTAGGCATTCAGGTGTGGCCTGATCCAGGTGTTATCAGAGTAGTCTCTTTTCTTTCCTCTCAGTCTTTCTTGATGCCTTAGATCTGCCTTCTTCAGTGTTGGCTGAATGTGCAAGCAGCCTCCCCTGCTGCGGGGGCAAACACAGCCTCCAGAAGCTCCACG